TGGCCCGAAACCAGAGCTGGCACCACTGGGTGAGGAATCTGGGGACCAACTGTCACAGCTCCAGTATCACTTGCCTCCTGGACGCCTGGGACCAGCCCTGAGTCCCAGAGGGGCCCTGTCAGCCAGCTGTCCGGGGGGACCCCAGCTCTGCCCCAGCCCCTCCGAGCTGCTCTCCCGGGGGAAATCAGAGAGTGCAGCAGAGCTGGTGGGGGGTGTTGGAGTGGAGGGGCAGAGGCGTTTTTCTGTACAGGCCCAAACCTCGGGCTGGGCTTCAAAGGAGATCGGGCACAACGACAAAAGGACCCGAATCTCTTCTCCAATCTCTGAGCCCTCTCAGTCCCAAGGACTGTTTTGCTCTCACATTTACTCCTATTTCTCCATGTTAACTGGGTCACACAGACTAGTTTCTGTGTCCTGCTGAGAGCAAAGATCAAGTTTGATGTTTCTTTTGTGTGTCATACAGAATTTTCCTAGGTATAGTCTCACTGATTGGAATTAATGAGTTGGGTGTATTCCAGGAACTGAGAGAGAACTGGCTGCGCTCTCAGCAGGAAGGATGGTGTTTAGATAGCAAGGTGGACTTCCCATAGGGAGGGGTATTAACAAAAGAAAACAGAAGCCCCATAAAGCATAGAAGAGCCCCCCCCAGGACAGATGGAGAAGGCATCCTGAGAGGAGCAGGGAGATGGGAGAGATGACCCCTACAAGGGCCAACCAGCTGGGCAGGGCAGCCTTGGGGGTGCCTTTGCCCTCCCTAGGGGCTCTCAGAACAGGGCAGAGGGTGGCGGGCATTAAGTGTGCGCCCCCTTCCCTTGGGACTTGGTGTGTAGATGGTGATAACAGGTGCCCAGGTTTGCTCAGAAAAGAGAACATATACAGATACACAGACAAGCAGTCCGGATCACCCACCCAGCTCCTGTCCTCTAGCCTCCACAGGAGCCTACGGTCACCCTCTCAACTGGGTCACCTTTCCTGCCTTGCAGCCAGGCCTCCCTACACCCACACACACTTGCACACAAACACATGCAGCACATACAACCAACTCAACAACTCCACAGGGTCCTTTGTTCCTCAGCAGCCTGGTGTGTGTGTGTGTGTGTGTGTGTGTGTGTGTGTGTGTGTGTGTGTGTGTGAAAGAGAGAGAGTTCACCTGCATTCTGGTGCTCAACAGGAACTATTCTTGGAATCATCTACTCTTTGTTTAGGATGATCTTATTTCTGCAAGTCTGCTAGATCTAGAACTGACTCCAGGTGACTCTTGGTGGGTTAGGATCCAGTGCCTGGTACATCCTAAGAGTTCAATAGGAAGTAGTTAGCTGAACAAATGAATTCATATTAATTAGTGAAGACCACAGTCTAGCCAAAATCACCTGCAAGGGGAGCACGACCAAGGGCCAGGAAACTGACATTGATTAAACACCTACAAGGGGCCGAGCACTGTGCTAGGAAGTGGGCTTATTATTTCCACCTTAGAGATGAGGACATTGAGGCTCAGCAGTAAATAAATGCCCAAGGGGCAGAACTAACAGCCAGTAGTTTGACTCCAGAAGCCTGCTGCTTCCTCTTGCACCATGAAGCTTCAAATGCGCAGTTACACTCAACACACTCTTACTGAGCTCCTTCTCTGGGCAAGGCCAGGGTACTGGCTAGATGCTGGGAGGTCAGGATGGGGGACAATAACAAAGATGAGAGACAGTCCTGTTCTCCAATGTCCTAAAGAGGAGAGATATGCCACTTACACACCTTTCTGGTCATAAGGCAGAGAGTAAGGAGTAGGATGCGGTGTGGGGAGCAAAGCCATCTAGCAAAACAGTTTAAGTAAGGCCTTGAGCCCTTATCACGATTCTATACTGAGCAGGCAGCAGAAGGGAAGAAAAGCAGGGCCATAGAGAGAAACCTAGCTTGGCCAGCACAGCTGTCAGTGGGAGAGAGGTGTCCGCCAAACACAGGAGGCCACCAGACTCTGGGAGAAAGGGAAAGACTCATCAACACCTTGCCCTAGAACAGGCTCCTCAAGGTGCCCACCCTTGGGCTCCTCTGCAGTTCGGACACTCTGGTGGTCCCCAGTGTGGATGGACACGGCCTGCAGGCACACATTCCCGTGTGTACGCCGGAGCCACAGACCTAAGCACACTCACACAGGTCCTGCCCTCCGGGGCCAGGTTCACAGTTGCCTCTCCCACCTTGGATATCTGGAGCCTCACAAGACACCTGAGGTGGACATATGAAGCATTAACACACTGATCTGTCCTGGCTGGACCAGGGAGGTAGGTCCAGCAGGGAGGACCACCTCCCCTGACCCATGCTTCTGTTTACCCTTTCCCATCCAGCAGCTGTCCCCCTCCTCACTCATACACACAAGTTTCTGTCCTTTGTTTTTTCTCCCTAGCCAAATCCCCAGGGGTTCTTTGGTCATTAACCTCCTGCTTTAATTAGCTTAGTGGGGAGGAAAGTGCAAGCGGGGCCAATTCAGTGATGGGTGTCTAGAGGGAAATCTCATTTGGGTGGGGACAGGAAGGCTCAGACCAGCTGATGACAAAAATGCCTGGCACACAGTAAGTCCTATGCAACTGCTTGCTATTCTATTAATGTGAAAAACAGTCACCTAGTCCACAGAGTAGGCATCTTCCTCCCAGTGAGAGCCCCAGAGCCCCCAGTACCACAGCTCCCCCCATTCAGGGTCCTGGGGCAAAAGGAGAAGGGACAAGAGTAGAGGACAGCCTACTCCCACTCTTTGTGTCTGTATTTCTTCCTCTCCCACTCTTGCTTGGAGGCAGTGGCGCCCAATCCCACAATGAGGTTTGTTGTTAATCTTATATGTTAAGTCCCTGATCTGGGGGTCACCCCTCCCCAACTCCAAGGTTTCCCAGGGGTTCTTCAGTCATGTCTCTCCTTCCCTGAATCCTCTGCCTTGCAAAGGAACAAGAGCCCCAGTATGCCAGTCCCTAACCCTCCCGAGATCCTCCACTCTGGCTCCCATCCTCCCTTGGTGTGCAAAGTCACTCTTTCCAACAATCAATTTAGGGACCTGGTTTGGTGGCTCAGCCCTCCCTCAGGGCCTCACAGTGCCAGGTCTACAAAGTCATCTCATCTGTCCCCCTGCTTCCAGCAGTACTTCAACCTCACAAACTAGTTCAGATTTTTTGTTTCCAAGATGTTCCAGAAAAAAGACACCTTACTACTGTAATTCACCACCCATTCTTATACAACTCTTGTAGGAAGTTCTATGTAAAGTCTGACCTCAAGACCTCATGGTGTAGTGTCATTCCTTCTCCTCTTGGGAGACTCGGGCATAAAAGGGGTGACAAAAGAAATGCTAAAGATGTAAGGTGAGAGGAGAAGAAAAGATTGCATTATACTTCAATTTTCCCAAACTCCCACTAAAAGTTCCATTTATGCCTTAAAAACGGTCAATTCGTGCCTTAAAAACTTATTTTTACTTTCACCAAATTTCCAGAGTCAAAGCATCTGAATTAATGAGTTTTCAATGGGGGAAGAGGTGAGTAAGTGGAATGATGGTGGAAGGTAACGAACAGATCACCTTCAAACTGTTTGCATGACCCAGACCTTAAGGAAGTCTGGGTCCCCAGTCCATCGAGTCTCTCTTCTCTCCTTCGGTGGCACCCAAAGCTCACGGCTCTCACTTGAAACTGTTCAGTCACATCATGTCTTTAAGTCTACTTCTGCCCCCGCAACTCTCTGCCCCCCACATCTCTCCTCTCCCTCCACCCTCTCATCCGCCCCACCGCCTCACTTCCACAGCCCTCCAGGCTCCCCTCCAATGATCTGAACGCGGTGAACTAACTCACCTCCCAGTAGGTGCCTCTCGGATCTCCGAGACTGGGGGGCGATTGGGGTAAAGGATGAGTGGGGAGGGCTTGCGGCTTGGGAATGAGGGGACCCCTTCTTTTGCCTGGGGGGTCCCACATTCGAGCTCGGCACCCCATCCTTGCCCCTACTGCGCGCAGAGCCGGGTTCTCCCTGCATCGCGGCTGCGGGCTTTGTCTGCTCTGCGGAGAACCTCTCCCAGCGGCCCGGAGCCGGATCGACTCTGGAAGAGCGGGAGGGGGAGCGGAGAGGGAGCACAGCAGGGAGGAGTAGAGGGGGGAGAGAGGGAGAGAGAGAGAGAGGGAGAGAGAGGGAGAGCCGCAGTGACCCAGACAGGACCGCTCCCCGCCCTCTGTCCCCCCCTCATTACCATAAGAAAGAGGGACCCGAGACCCGCCGGGACCGCGTGGGAGCCAGGCTTGGGAGAGGGGCGCGCTCCATTAGCCTTTTTTCAACCATTCAGTTTCTGTACACTGACTCCTCTATCCTAGCTCACAAAAAATTAGGGACCTTGACTTTCATCCCACCACCAGCTTTGCCTCCGAGCCCCGGGTAAAGACCGAAGGCACATCCAGATCCTCCTCGGGTCAAGAATTCGTCCCCGCGCCCCAAGGGCGGGAAACTACAACTCCCGGCATGCCCCGGGCGCCCCCGGCGCGCCCCCCTCCCGTCAGTTCCACGCTGCTCCATCCAGTTCATTTAAAACAAAAGAGTTTGAGCGCTGGAAGGGGCTGGGCTCTATTGGGGGCCACTGAGCGCTGCTCCTGGACTGAGGCTCGGTGCGGAAGCCTAAAGGGGGCGTCTGGACGGCGGGGTCTAGAGACTCCCGGGTCCGAGGAGGGAGGGGTGGGGGCAGAGATCCTGCAGCCCCCCGCCCCCCGTCACCCCCGGAGAGGAGAGGAGATCCGCTTTCTGGGTTTTGTTTCTTTTTCCCCCCCACCCCCACCCCGGGGGCTTGGGCGAGGGGAGTCGGGTTACAGGGTGTTTGGGGAGGGGGGCTTAGGGGGAGGGTCTATCTTTCTATCTCAACGTCTTTCCCCCTCCCCAGTTCTTTGTTCCCCCCTCCCCACACACCCCCTCCTCTCCTCTCCCCTCCCCTCCTCTCTCCTCTTTTCCCTTCCACCACCTCTCTCTCTCTCTCCCCCTCTCTCTCCCCCAGCTTTTGTTTCGCCATGCCTAGTCTAGTGGTATCTGGAATAATGGAAAGAAATGGGGGCTTTGGAGAACTAGGATGTTTCGGGGGAAGCGCTAAGGACCGAGGGCTGCTGGAAGACGAGCGCGCCCTTCAGCTGGCTCTCGATCAACTCTGCCTCCTGGGTTTGGGGGAGCCCCCCGCCCCCACGGCAGGCGAGGACGGGGGAGGTGGGGGGGGCGGCGCCCCTGCGCAGCCGGCTGCTCCCCCGCAGCCGGCCCCACCGCCGCCGCCCGCGGCGCCCCCGGCCGCCCCGACGGCGGCCCCCGCGGCGCAGACGCCTCAGCCCCCCACCGCCCCCAAAGGGGCCAGCGACGCCAAGCTCTGCGCCCTCTACAAAGAGGCCGAGCTGCGGCTGAAGGGCAGCAGCAACACCACCGAGTGTGTACCCGTGCCCACCTCCGAGCACGTGGCCGAGATCGTGGGCAGGCAAGGTAAGCGGGCGCTCGGATCGCGGAGACAGACTGGATGGGGGGCACCCCATCTCTAGCGTGGAAAGTTCATTTCCTTTCTTGTCCACCTCTGTCTCTGAACCTTAACCCACAAAGGGGGACCCGCCCCCTACCTGATTTCCTAGCGCCACAAAGTTCCCTGCTACCCCCAGTTGGGACTGTTCTCCAGATCCTTCCTCCCCCCACGGCTCTGCCCTTAGACAAAGAAATATCTTCTCTTAGAGAGAGGAAAAAGGGGAGGGGGATTGGATTCCCAATCTAGACAGGCTGTCCTGAGGGGGTGTCCACTCAAAGCCAGAAGAACTGGCAGAATGTGCTCAGAGTTACTCAGAAGCCTTTACTCTGACATCTGTGAGTAAGTTGGGGAGGGAGGACCCCTGGGGCCCCCACCCTCCTGGAGTTACAGACTTTGGGGGAGACCTGGCCCAGGGGGAGCCAGTCTGAGTATCTGTCTCTTTGTTGGGCTAAGTGTTGGAATGGAAGGGGGTGTGGCTCATGGGAGGGTCCCAGCCTAAGGGAGAGATGGGGAGGGGGCTCCGGGAAGAGGGAGGCCTGTGGTCACCCGCACACCGAAGTTGAATGGTCTGTGGGGTTTTGGAAGGGGGACCTCCGAGGAAGTGCCACATCCTGGTGTGGACCTCTTCTCCCTTTCAGGCTTTTGTTCTGGGATGGCCAAGGCCAGGGGCCAGAGGCCTGGAGAGGGGTCTCTGGTAGTCAGAGAGTAGGACAGGGTGGGAGGGGGCATGCTGAGAGGGGTGGGGGGAGGGGTTGAGAAACCCTCACCTGGAGGTTAGAGGCAGGGCGTGTGTCTGGTTGTGTGTGTGGGGGAGGGATGTAGAATTAATTCAGTGTAGACTGTCTGATACCACACCCTCCTCCGCTCCAGCATCCCTGGGCGGGTGGGGGTGGGAGTGTTGGTGACTGTCCAGGTTGAGCAGACGGGATCTTGGGGACCCTTCCCTCTCCTGATTTCCCAAAGGGGATGGGGGGGCCAGGATTTGGAAACTGTGAGGGGCTGGACTGGGGAGGTGGGGGTGGGGGAGGAGCAAGGGAGGAGCTGTCCCACCGTAGGAACAATAGAGGAGCTGCGTTCAGGCTGGGGAGTGAGGGAAGAGGCCTGCTGCTGGCAGGGAGGAGGGGAAGCGAAGCCGGGGGCCCTGCTCTTCATCCCACCTCACCCCCTTGTAGTGCTGGGGGCTGGGGGGATTTTGCTGGGAGGTCCTGAATGGAGGAGGGGAAGATGCCACTGGCTTGCACAGCCCTTGTCCTCTCGGCCCCTGCCTGCACCCATGCACTTAATCTCTTTCGATTTCTGGTTTAAAAACTTGGGTTTCCTCTTGCCAGAAACTAGGGACCCAGAGCACCCTGGAATTGGGTGGAGACACCAATATATTTTCATGGGTGTGGGGGTAGTCTTGGGAGGGTCCAGAATTTCATGGAGTCATTCTTTCCTCTTCTGCCTCCGCATCTGATGGAGCTATCGTAAAAGTAGGGGGATTTCTCTCTTCCTCCTCATTCCTTAAATATATGGAAGTCCTCCTCATTGTCTAATCTCCCTTCTCCTGTTGCAGTGTCAGTGCCCCTATATTTGACCTCTAAGAAGGTGAAGCCCAGTGGGTCTTCCCTTCAAGAGATGCTTCTTCAGGCTTGCAAAAGTCAGGGTCAGGTCCACCATCATTTCTGCATCCCCAGGCCAATAGCTTTTCTTCTTACTCTTATGCTCTGGCCTTTCCTTTCCAACCCATCCCCAGCCTCCAAAGGTACATACATAACTGTCACTTCAGGTTATGGACCCAAAAGTTAGAGCCAGAGCTCAGGTGCCTATCGGACACTATTGTGAGAAGAAGTTGTATGAGAGAGGATATCACTGTTCCTCCACAATCCATGCCCCACAAATAGAACAACATTTACTGGCATTAAAGCAACGAGGATATGAGCTTGACAACAGGTAGGACTTCTCAACTGCCAAGAGGGTTGAAGACAAAAAGGGATGGGTAAATTCTCCTTCCTAAAGTGAGAAGAGCCACCCCCAACCCATATGTCAATCTGGTAGGATTGCAGAAGCCATATGGAGTGGAGGAAGGAGACAAAATAATAACAATAATAATAAGAGTAATAAGCTCACCTCAGGCCTGTGGTGGGAGAGTTGGGGCAGAGTCAGAAAGCTAGAACTACTAGTGTTCATTTTAGAATGGATAGGTAGTGTGGTGGGGGTGAGGAAGGGAATGGTGAATATGTGCCTGAAGAGGGGTGTGAATGTGTCTGTAATAATTGGGTGAAAGTTGTGGGCATGTGCTGTCTGTGTGTCGGTGATGATAGGGATCGAAGAGTGGGAGGTAGCAGAGGTTGAGACAGGGAATCCGTGTGAGTGGGAGGGATGTATGAACGTGTCCCACGGCTGTTGTTTAGAGAAAGGCACGTAGTGAGTGCATCACGGTTCTCGAGTCCCTGCGTCTGCAAACACACACTGTAGCATGTGCACTTGGAGAAAGAATGTGAGTTTCTGTAAAGCTTGGGGCAGGGAGAGGAAATGTGGGAGAGGAGGGAGAGACTTGTTCCATCGGCCATTGAGGTACACAACCTTCAGAGATGATGTTGCTGTCCCACCCTGCCTCCCTCCCTCTTCTTTTTCCCTTCTCCCTCTTTGTCTCTTTGTCACAGCTTTCGTTTTCTTCCTGCCTCTCTCCTCAAACTCCCAGCTTTCATTCTTTCCCACTTCAGAGTGGGAGTGTGAGTCCAGAACACCTACTTCCTCCCCCTACTCGGCCCCCAGCCTGTCTCAGCTCTGCCCCCTGGGGACAGTGTGGCAGGAGTGTCCATGGGGTACAGTGCTGTTCCTCACATGTCATTGTCTTTATCTTCATACTCCTCTTTTCCCTATTCAGACTGATTGTCAGGCCCTTCCCCGTCTCCCGCACTCTACTAATTGCTTCGAACTTGCTGTGAATTGGAGACACTGAGAGACGCTGACGGAGGGAGGGGCCCATAGCACAGATGGGGTCATCGGATTCTGAGTAGGTTGTGGGACACTTTTAATGAACAGACGTCAAGTGAGGAGTACATTGTGTGGTTGTGAGTACATTGGAGTTCTGTGGAAAGATCAGGGTCAGTGACAGATATTGAGGGGTGGGGAGTGATTGATTGATTTGGAAGTTTGAGTAGCAAGGAATCAGTAGAGAAATTGAGGGAAAGGAACATGGTTGGGGAGGAATTATTGTGTAGATTTGGGGTTAGCAGCTTATCTGGTTATTTTGGGGTTTCAAAGAATAAATGAATTTGGAGGGTCCTGGGTGGAATTCCAGGGAAAGTTGTTACATTTTGAAAACTGTTGTTGATAGAGACATTGGATAGATCTGTGATGAGTGGATTGTTCAAGTTAGGGTAATTTATGGAGCGTGGTTAAAAGGTAGATTGAGAGGTTCCTGGGGGCGGGGGTATCTGAATAAGGATCAGGAGCTTATCGGTGCCCCCACCGATCTTCTCGTCCAGTGAGTGTCTTTCTCTGTTCCCTCCCCTACTTAACCCAGGTTGCAAGATTAAGGCTCTGAGGGCCAAGACCAACACCTACATCAAGACTCCAGTGCGGGGCGAGGAGCCAGTGTTCATGGTGACTGGGCGGCGGGAGGACGTGGCCACAGCCAGAAGGGAAATCATCTCAGCGGCGGAGCACTTCTCCATGATCCGAGCGTCACGCAACAAGTCCGGTGCTGCGTTTGGTGTGGCTCCTGCCCTGCCTGGCCAGGTGACCATTCGCGTGCGAGTGCCCTACCGCGTGGTGGGGCTGGTGGTGGGCCCCAAGGGGGCCACCATCAAGCGCATCCAGCAGCAGACCAACACTTACATTATCACGCCGAGCCGTGACCGCGACCCAGTGTTCGAGATCACGGGTGCCCCAGGCAACGTGGAGCGTGCACGCGAGGAGATTGAGACACACATCGCAGTGCGCACTGGCAAGATCCTCGAGTACAACAATGAAAATGATTTCCTGGCAGGGAGCCCCGACACTGCCCTGGACAGCCGCTATTCTGAGGCTTGGCGGGTGCACCCGCCTGCCTGCAAGCCTCTCTCCACCTTCCGGCAGAACAGCTTGGGCTGCATTGGAGAGTGCACCGCGGACTCTGGCTTTGAGACCCCACGCTTGGGTGAGCAGGGCGGGGACTTTGGCTACAGCGGGTACTTGTTTCCTGGCTACAGTGTGGGCAAGCAGGATGTGTACTACGGGGTAGCAGAGACCAGCCCCCCGCTATGGGCGGGCCAGGAGAATGCCACGCCCACCTCAGTGCTCTTCTCCTCTGCCTCCTCCTCCTCCTCTTCTTCTGCCAAGACGCGTGCTGGTCCCCCAGGAGTGAACCGCTCTCCTGCCACCTCCTCCTCAGAGCTGGCAGGACTCCCAAGACGCCCACCTGGAGAACCACTTCAGGGCTTCTCCAAACTTGGGGGTGGAGGCCTGCGGAGCCCTGGTGGCGGAAGGGATTGCATGGTGTGCTTCGAGAGTGAGGTGACTGCGGCCCTTGTGCCCTGTGGACACAACCTGTTTTGCATGGAGTGTGCCGTACGCATCTGCGAGAGGACGGACCCTGAGTGCCCTGTCTGCCACATCACAGCCACGCAAGCCATCAGAATATTCTCCTAAGCCTCCTGCCCCGTGCCCACTGGGGCCACTCCCCGCGGGCCTGCCCCCGGGGCTGTTTTCCACCAGAGCCTTTTGGAAATCAGTAATTTGAGGGGCAAGGTGCTTAGAGATACTTGCTGGGAGAGGGGAGGGAAGGCTATGGTGGCTGGAGGGTGGGCCACTTTCAGACCCTCTGGTTACCCTGTCCGTGAAAGTTTGGGAGGGGACCAGATGGGAAATTTTACTAGAGTTACAACTCTGATACCTCAACACACCCTTCAGTCTAGAAGCAGCTACGAGAAACTCGTTTTGCCGGAGGTGGCAGCTAAGACACTCCGACCCACCTTGCCCACCACCCCCTACGTGGCATACTACCCCTTCCCCTTGGGAGGGGCAGGGCTGGGGGGGGGGAACCGCCACCTGTATGCAGAGGTGCTGTCTCCACTTCCCAAGTCCTCTGGTCCTGGCTTCCGACCTCCTAATCCCTGATGTGACCCTTCGGACCCTGCATGGCCATGTTCTGGGTGAGAACCTGGTTCTGGATGTCCAGCAGGGGAGGGGGAGGGGCCCCTTCAGAAGCCCACATGGATCGTGGGGAAAGGGAGAAGCATGGCAGTCAGTTAGGGGCTCAGACCCGTCTGTCCTCGCAAAGCTGGGCTAGAGGAAACTGGACGGAGGTCCCTCTGTCCCCTTCAGCTTTGCCCTCCCCTCTCCTACCATATTTCCTCCCTCTGGGTTCTCCTTTCCTCTTTCCCAGCTCTTCTCTTTACTTCCTCTTGGTGGCTGTCACTCCCCCCTCGTGTTGTCCTTTCTGTGTCTTCCTTTCTCCCCTTCCCTCCTGCCTCGACTAGCCCAGCTTTGGGAGCACCATCTCCCTGCGGAGAAGTATGGGGGAGGACATTTTGGGGGTCCTCCTAATGCCTCTTTTGGCATCTAGAAGCTCTCCCCACTCCTCCAGAGAAACACCTCAAATTCCTGATGAAATAGATCTCTGTTCTCAGTGAAAATTTGAGGAGGGGATTAATACTGGGGAACATAATGGTCCAACTCTCCACCTTTATCAGCTTTGGGTATCACATTTAGGTAGCACTCCTAGGGCTGGATTTCATGGCAGTAGAAGGAGAGGAGCCAGGTAGTGGGTCTGCTGTTTGAAGGGTCAGGAGAGGCTGCTCCTTCTTCCCTGCATTGCCCCACTCTCTGCTCCCCTCTCTGGACCTCATTCTAACCCTTATTAGCCAGCAAATCATGAAGTGTCTGTCTTACCCATCATGTCTGAGGAGAGAGGGCAGGTTTCAGAGAGGGGTCATTCCAGGGCTAAGCAGGATTGGGATGTGGCTGATCCTCTGAGAATCATGTTACAGGCCTCACACACCCTTTGCTGCTTCCCTGCTGCTCACTTGGGGTTGCCACCAGCTTCCCACCCTCCTGGTTCTGCTGGCCGGGCCAGGGGAGGACAGGGATCGGAGTCCCTGGAGGTCCCAGGAGTTTCTTGTATATAAGTGGGGTGGGACTGTTGTAAGTGCTCTCTGAGCACTTGAGCTCTGGAGTCCCATTCCTGGACGGAGAGAGGGCGTGGGGATGGGGGTGCAGAGGGGACCCCACCTCTTCTTCCTCCTGTTGTGAATTAACTCGCCTCTCTCGCCTCTCCTCGAGCCTTCCCCTCCAGACCACCAGCCAGGGAGGGGAGAGGAGGGAGGTCACAGCCAGGAAAACCGGCCTGTGACAGCTTCCCTCCTTCCCGCCAATGTGAGCCATCCTGAGATGTCTGTACAATAGAAACCAAACTAAATGGGCACCCTTGGTTGCCCTGGGGAGGTGGGAGGGGGATGGGCTGTCTGTCTGTCAATTACCCTCCCCCTCTCTACTCCTTACCCACAAAGGCAGAAGACTGTTATACTGGGGGGGCTCAGAAAATTCAATCCCACCCTTACTAACTGAGCCAAACCTAGAGACAAACACAAACATACATAGTGAGAGACAAAATAGGTGAGAAAGAGCGTGAGAGGGAGCGAGACAGGCGACCAACACAGAGAAAACAAATAGCAAAAAAAGAAAAGCAGTTCTTTATAATTTAATATTCTATTTTAATAAAGGCGTTTATTACCATATAAATGTAGCAAAGAACCTGGGCTAATATGAAAAAAAAAAGACTTTTTATTAGGTAATTTATTATATGAAAAGGATATTTTATTTTATGATAAAGTGATCCTTAAAAAAAATAAAAAAACTTTAGAAGGTTTAGAATATATGTAGGGAGAGAAGAAAAAAATACATTTGTATTCAGAGTTAAATCTTTAAAAAGTGTTTTTAATATATGTTCAGGTTTACGTTCCTTTTTCCCCCACTTTTTTTTGGGGAGGAATGTCACTTGCTTTTGGGGAGAGGGACCTGGTCCCTCTGGGGCCCTGCAAGTGGATTGGATTTCATTCCATGGGCTCCCCTCTCCTCTCCCCGTCCCCCCTCTGGGGAGCGGGCAGAGCCAAACAAAGAAAGAAATTAACAAGAAAGGGAGGAGCTAGAGGACTGAGGACCCTGGGGTGCCCCCCCTTCTCCCGCCCTGTCCCAGGGGCGAGTGAGGAGGGGAAGTCTGGAACCGAGGCCTAGCAGGCTTATGGGACCCTCAGAGAGGTGTGAGATTTAAGAGAAATAGTTTTTGTTTTTAACCAAAAATGAGAAGAAAAACCGAGGGGTTTAAAAGAAAATACTACAAAATAATTATTAATAATAATTCAAATTTATTTCATATAATCCTAGAGAAAAAGTTACTAGTTACTTAGTAGATGGTATTCAGATAGCTTAAAGGTTAGTAGCATCGCGGGCCTCTGGGTCCGGTAGAATGTATAAAAGTCGTAACAAAAGGAAGACAGGAGGGCAGTGGCCGAGCCGCCCATCTCCAGACATCAGGGTGGAAGCAGATTGCTAGTTAAGGTTGGGAGCTTTTAGTCTGCTGGGGTCAGTTCTGAGAATCCTTGGGTTTTTAACTTCTAGGACAAATTGAAGAGGGCCAGCTCCCAGCATCTTTGAAAGGATAGGCATTGATCATTTCAACCGGGCGGGGGCAGCAGAGGAGGGTGAGCACGTCCGCCTGCACCCCTGCACTGCAGGTACGGAGAGACGCACATGCACACACTTCCACCTCAGCTTCAGGAGACTGAGGGGACCCAGACCCCAGCCCTCTTCCCGCCCAGTCTCCTACTTAGCTTGTGGAGATGGGTGGGGGGGTAACAGACTCAGTTCTGTAAAGCTGCACCTCTTTACAGTTTGTAAGGTGCTTTAGTGTCTCATAGAAGTTAGATTCCAAGAAGAACTTCCCACCCACTGGAGACACTGTCCCTGAAAGGCCTGGGAGAAGGGGCTCCAAGGGTACAGAGACCGGGGAAGGGCAGCAGAGACTTGGGGTGACCCTGACCCCACCCCTCTGCTCCAGTCCACCTCTGTGTGTTCAGGTAGGGGTCATCCACTGTGTTCTGGCCTGGGGGCATATCATCACCCTTCCCACTGACAACTGGGGAGTTTGGCTTTTGCATGTGAGAAATCAATTTTCTAGGCACTTGCCTTCTACCAACGGTGGCTTGCAGTCAGGTCAGGCCCCATCCTCCAGGTGATTGATCCAGGAGGGTGTGGGACCCGGTGGCCCACCTGTGACTGTCACGCCCCTCCTGGCCTTGACCCCAAACACATCTCCCTCTCCCCAATTTACTCTTCTCGCCCCACTTAGGGACAGATTACCCCCTGCTCTTTTTGTCCTAGAAACCCCCATAGTTTGGGAAGATAGCGTCTGTGGTGGGGAGGGCGTCCCCTTCCCCACCCAAGGGTGCGGGTAGGGTAGGGTGGGTGGGGGGAGACAGCCCTGGGGCAGGGGGGATGGTCTCTCCACTGTAGAAAGTAGAGTAGGATTGTGGTCAGACTTAATTTGAGGCATCTAGTAAGGACATGTACAAGTTCACCAAGGAAAAGGAGTTAAAAAGCAAAATAAAAGGCGGGAAACAAAACGGACCCATGAGTAATCGAGTCAAAGTGATGTTGCACAAAATGCAGAGAAACCAAGAAGGGGAGGGTTAATGTATTAAATGTGCTATTAAGAAGTTAATTTTATTAAAAGTATTATTACTTAAGGCTCTGACTGCTTTCTCTGAATGTGGGGGTTTTGGCTGGGGGTTTTCCCTGGTGATTCTGGGTGCCCCTGCCCACCTTTGGGGTGCCCCTGCCCGCCTTTGGGAAGTGGGTGGCCCCTGTCTGCTCTCTACAGCGTCCTGCCAGAGTCTCCAAGCACTCAATCCCTTCTCTTCTACCCATTCAACTCCCTTCCTTTCCTTGAGGGTACAGTCAGACCTTCTCCTACTGTGCTCTGCAGAACAGGAAAACCAGAGAACCTGCCTGCACAGCCAGCTCCTGGGCTGATGGAGAAGTGGCAGAGAGCTGGGAGCCAGACCCTTCCCACTCACCCCCACCAGATTCAATGTGCCCCTACACACCACTCCCCCTCACTGGGGTCAGGCAGAAACCTGGGTGAAAGACTTGGACCTTCCACCTCCGTCTTACACTCCGTTTCTCCAGCACACATGAACAGGCTGGCTCTGACTCCCCCGCTGCTCTCTCACCTCCCCTGCCTCCGCCCTTTACCCCTGGCATCGGAATGACCTCAGTTCTTGGCACCAGGGCCCTGGGCAACAGATGGTACCTGCTGATGGTCTCCTTTGTCTTGCCTTCCAGATACTCCCTCTCCGCCATGCTGTCCTCCCTCCCACTTCTGCCTTGGGGGTTGGCAGAGGGAAAGACAGGTACCTCTCACCCCCTTGGCACCTTCCCCAGACTACAGGACTCCAGGGGCAGCTGGCCCTGGGGGGCAGTAGGGAGAATGAAGGGAGGGCTGAGGGAAGGGGAGCAGGGGCTCAAAGGAGGAGGAGCCAGGTTTGAAGGGGAGGCAGCAGCAGGATGGCCAAGCATTGATACAAAACAGCTTTATTTGAGGGCCTCAGTCTGTGAAGGGTGGCAGGTAACAGAAAGGACAGAATGGTAGGACATGAAGAACTTTGAGCTCTGGGGGGCTGTGAACAGAGAACTGGCCACTCTGGCACCTGGAGCCACAGGGCGGGGAAAGGTCCTGGAGCCTGAGGCTGGGGAGCACCGGAAAGCTCGTAGGCGCGGGGCTGGTGCCAGCTAAGGTCAGAGG